CATGAGGGCATAATGAGCAAAAGGTTACGTTCAGACACTGGAAATTCCTGCCTTTTCTCACTTTTCTTTGTTCCTCTCCAGGCCACTCATCACCCCAAAAGGCGTGATCCCTTATCAGCCCAAAGGTTCCTGCTTTTCTTTCTCTGCGCAGGGACCCCTGGTGCTTCCATGATGTGTGGTTTCCTGCATTTGGCCTGTGCCCCTCCTTTCTGCCCGATTCCTGCCATTTGATCTGTGTCCCCCTTGCTCTGCTCATATCTAGCTATCTGCCTGCTCTAGCAGCTACGGACATGTATTTAGAATATTAGAAACTTATGTAGAAGAATGGTTTGCTGATTTCTCTCTTTCTCCTTTTTCTTTTTCTTTTTATTCACTTTGATGTACTTAGTTTCCTTTTTTTTTCTTTTCTTTCTCGTCCTTCTCTTTCCTTCCTTTTTATTGTCCCTCTGTCTCTCTTTTTATTATTTTCTTTTTTTTTAATGCTTCCCTCCCACCCTCCCCCAGTTCTCTCCTCCCTTCCTTTTTTCATTCATTCATTTGTTCATTTCTTCCTTCCTTCCTTTTTTCCTTTCTTCCTCCCTTCTTCCTTCCATTTTCCTTTCACGTGTAGCTGTGGAATAGCTATACAGTATGGGGTCCTGGAGCAGAGCTTGCATATGGTACAAAATGGGTAAAATAATCTCTCTTCATACAACCTAATCAACCTTTGCCATTCAACTGAATATAGTAGTCCATCACTGCAAAATTTGAGGGCAAGTCCTGCTATAAGGACTGTGTGCTCCTCAAAGAAAAATAATCTGTGATCAGAATCACTAACCCTGAAAACCTTGGTCTTAACATCCATCAAAATTTCTAGTACAACAATATTTATTATGAAAAACCGTGAGATTATGTTTAAATGAAACATCGTATGGCATACTTATCACGTTCTAGTAAATTCTCATTATAATCATAGCTGTAGGAAATAGTCCTCTGACGTGAAACAGCAAGATAGAAAGTTATTTTCATTTAAGGCTACAATAAGAACATCCTTTGGTCCAAAGGTGGGAAATAAACATGCACTAAAATGCTAAAAGTTGACTTGAAGTTTTGAAGTTATGGATTTTTTTCCTTTTTCTCCTGTTTTCTGTAAAATGACAAATCATTGTATGAATCAAAATTCCAGAAGGCCTTGAAATTAAAAAAAAAATTGAGAAACATATGGATGAGTCCCTGAGTCACAGTTTAAGTGGGAAAAGCATTTATCCCCCATTCATCCACACATACATCCATTTACTTATGCAATCATTAATTCATTCCCCAGGTGTTTTCTGAGGACCCACCAAGGG